TTAATTCAAGGAGAACGCCGCTGATCATTCCAAATCGCCGGTCGATCCCTTCCTGCTACGTTCCATCACCACTGCACATGAACTTATTCACGTGTTCCACTGTTTCCCCGTTCGCTGGATAACAAGAAAACACGTGGCTTTCATTTTACACTCACATAGAAGCCCCTCACGACGCTTTTGGTTGCGAGCCGTTCCAGAGAGCGATGTAGATCAGTATCAGAGGATCACAACAAAGCATGTTGGTGCGCAAGCATCAGCCTTTACGTTTCCATGTGTCCGACACTGAGGCACTGGTCACCTCTGGCCGTCCCTGACTGTCCACACATGGACCGAGAGAAGCGGTCGAAATGAAATTTCTTCAGCGGATTATTGGCGTGACAAGGCTTCACTGGGCGCAGAAAAATTTCAGAGATCCTCGCTTGTGAGGACGACATGAAATCGGAATACGGACGCTAAGACTCGAAAAACCAACTTTTCTCGCAAAGCCATATTATCGATGGCATAAGCTACGTGGAGAACTAAGTGACTGAAATGTAACATAATAAACGACTGGCGTCGTAGTTGCAGAACTGTGAAACTTGATGAATTGGCAGGGGGCGGGAACTACTGCTTGATCTTCTTTACGGTATTGTCTTTTGATCAAAAGGGTTTTTTCTGCTGCGCTGGTAAGTCCTTTCGAGTGTTTTGGCGGATCAATGACTTGTTTCATACATAGACTAAATATTCTACATGTTGTAACTCGTTGTTACGAATAATTCTCGATGTACTAGCTGAAAAGCTGGTGTGGATTCTACGTCCTACGAGACTGTTTAGTCATGCTGTTAAAATGCTCGTTTTATCAATCCATCGCAGGTTAGTTGAGTTCACTTCGAGCTGACTCACTGCATGATTGACGCTTTTGTCATTATGAGGAGAAGCTTGCGTGCTCAGAATATTTCAAAAACTTTTTATATGAGGGATGAAGTTGTGCACATACGTGAGATGTAGTATATTATATAGATAAGCAAAGGGTACATCTATGCAACTTTATTTAAGATTGAAACTTCAAAATAGATGCGATAATTTATTTTTCATTTTAAGGTACCTCCCAAGTGAAAAGTACTTGATCGAAAAAGGATGCTTAAGAAGTACTTCTGCAGACTTAATTGGATGTGCCTACAGACGTAGCATGAGGCACGTGTACTGCATCTGTGCCAGTGACGACTTCTGCAATGAAAGCGCATCAGCCGGCAACGGCTCGAAACGTGAGCAGAAGCTATCGGTGCAGTGCCGAGAATGCTACACGTGGAAGAGCTGCCTCGGAATCTGCCATGCTGATTACTGCTGGGCAGAGGCTATTACGGGGGCAGAACAATGCGGCTACGGTGTGCCTTTTCTACCGTACCACTATCAAACCCCTTCGTTGCTTTCTTTGGAGTCGAACCACAACGCCTGCGTAAGAATCGAGTTTAGTGGCCAGCTGCAGGTAAAACGATTGCACAAAGTGATTTATTTAAGAAGATGGTTCTTAAATAACACATTGGCCTATTGGTTTGTTCGCTCATTCATTGATGCGTTCCCACGCGGGTATATGTAATGTAATATAGTACACATTTCCGTTCATTTTCTTCCTCTTTCTTCATTCATGTACGTGACGTTTATGAATGACTTCTCGCTCGTCTCATCGAATCCGGTCATACAGCGTATTGCCTGCTTAGAGTGTACAGTTTCTAACTAAGGTCACTTGTGCGCACGTGTGTCACCTTTCATGCTAAGCCAACGCTAATCAAGAGACTGTGTGTGTGTGTGTGAGAGAGAGAGAGAGAGAGAGAGACAGAGAGAGACAGAGACAGAGACTACATGCTCTCTCTCTGTCCCTCTGAATTCTATTTTCTCTCATAATCATTCCAAGCATTCTATTTGTCGCTTGAAAACACTTCGTCAACTCTTCATAAACCTTACCTTTTCTGTGTTTAAATCACTCTTCACTTTTTGTGACCGTTTCTGTTTCTGTGTTGCGGAGGTCAGACGGTGTTACCAACGTTCCAGATGCTGTGCCGGAATCTGAGCTTTGGCATAGGACAACCGGAGTCTAGAACAGACTCCTTCAAAACACTAGCAGCAGGCTAATTTTAGCTGCCCCCTGGGTATTCTGCCGGATGGCCCAAAAAATAGCGGTTGTTTCGCCTGCACTTCTGCAGATATTTGCATCACTTCCAAAATTGTCGAGGCTGTGAGTCTCAATATGAAAGACGGCGACTGTACATCAGTTTCCCTCAGACTTCTGTTCCATGTACCACGTCGAGACATGTAAGGCCTACGCTTCGTCTCAGAAAGATCTTTTCAGCTGCTTGTATCCGGATTCGAGCTTTTCAGTCATGGTCCATGACTGATGAATGTAGATGAGCATTGAGGATGGAGAACTACGTGAACACCGAGAGCTTAGACCTCAGACTCAGTTCTCCGTTAGTCCCAAAGCTTGGATCAGTTTACATAGAACGCCACTGGCAATTCCAGCCCGTTGGTTGACCTCTTGCTTCCATTTTCAATCATCAATAAAGACGAACCTGAGTAGCTTGAAGTTTTCCACTGGTTTCGCTGCTTCTCCATTTATCCGCAGATCGCAGTTGGCAGAAAAATGAGGAAGCAGTAGCATTTTCGCTTAGACGCATTCGCAGGCATGCCGATCACGTCACACTCGGCTGCGAACCTTTCCAGAAAACGCTGGTCGCATGCAAGCAGCTAACATCTCCTCTAGGCATCTCCTACGCTGATACTCTCATCACCCTGGCTGTGCCTAATCATCATCCATGTTAAACACATGCAGGAGAGTGCACGGAACGCAGCCTAGGTGGGGACTAGTGCCAACAGGAAGCCACACAGGTCTTCTTGTATTTTGGAGTCAGTTTTTCCGCGGCACCTCCTTCCTAGCACCTTTGCGTAGACTTTACTTGATTACGCGAGACTCAATACGTAACGCCCCTATGACTGGAGCACCCGTATAGTCTCTTTTCTTCAAAAGGGGTATTGCAATCAGCATCCTCTAGTCTGTGTTCCACCTGAAGCTGTCGCAGTTTCATAGGCACGTGTAACCCCGCATATGTTTTCTTCACCTATTGCTTTTGAGCATATCAGGGAGGATTTCATCAACTATAACTGCTTTACCACTTTTCGCAGCTTTTCTAACTTCTTCCACAGAGATAGTAATATGCGTTCACTTCTGCTATACACGTGAATCTTCCTGCCGCTGCTCGGAGTTAACGAGTTCCTCAAAGCACTCCCTCCATCGCTGAAGAATGTCATCGTCAATGATAAGGGGGTGACCAGACCTGTCGTTCAAGGACTGCCTTTCCTAACATTTCGGAGCCGGCGGATGGTCTGCCAGAATACATTGCCGTGTGGAATATTGACTCAAACACTTCGTCGAACTTCTCGCCGCCGCCTTGCGCGCTTCTACGTACCGCATATGACTTGAAGACTCCCTGCTTTCAATCCACCTTTCGAATGCAGCGTTTTTCTCAGTGAGAGCCAGCTCCAATCCCTCGTTTCCACCAAGAAATTTTTTTCTGACCTCCAGCCGGTAGGCTAATCCGTAAGCTGCTCTTAAAGAGGCACTGCTCAGTTTCTACATCAGTTGTCATTGCTGGGATTTGTTTAAACCGTCGTGCGATGTTGTTTGCAAATTTCGCTCTCGTGTCCACCGAAGAAATGTGTCCCATTTCATTCTCCGGTTGCTTCTGCCACAGGATCTTCGCATGGTACTTCATTTCTTACAGCGCAGCGTGCCAG